GAGTAAAATTTATCTGCCATTATTCCAACTTCAATAAATTCCTCAAAAAGCGACAGAGACATCGAATAAATAAAAATTACAGATATTTCATCTCATTCGCTCAACAACCTGATTATTTCATAGTTTTTCAAAATCCGTAGAACAACCAAATATCAAAATCTCGTTTGCTCTATTAAAAATTTGAATAATATACATTAGCGATTATTATTATATCAAAATATATAAATTACAGTTAATTAATATAAATTAGCATCTAGAATTTAACATTTACGTATGCATAGGAAACATTCTATACTATATTATATAACTTGATACAAAACTCAGCATTTCTTAAAATGTGTGATAGCATTTTAATACTCAATGACAACATATTGTTTGACGTCTTTCAACATCTGATATAAACATGATCAATTGATTGTCATACAACAAAATTAACAAAATTTAATAATTTTTATTATGAGTATGCACATAATAGGAATTTGTAGTCTGGATTAAGATACATAAAAATTTCAGCATCTATTATTGTATAAAAATATTTATATTATTGTTAATTAAAAAAAATTAGCATCTCGTTCAATTGAATTTAGCATTTGCGTGTGCATGAGAGAACATTTCATATTATGTTATATACTACTTGATACAACAATCAACATTTTCTAAGATGTGTGACGACATTTTATTATTCAATAGACAATATATTGTTTGATATTTTTCAACATCTAATATAAACATGGTTAATTGATTGACATACAATAGAATTAACAAAACCAGATGTTGTTTACACTTTATAGTGTACATATGCATATAATAGGGGTTTGTAGTTAGGTTTAAGATACATAAAAAATTCAGCATTTATTGTTGCATAAAAAATACTCAGAGTATTGTTATTTAAAGTAAATCATCATTTTGTTTAATTGATTTCAGCATTTATGTGTATGTGAAATAACATTTTATACCATATTATTCAGAACGACATCAATTGTCGACACATACTTTTTCAATACTCTTCCAATCACTATCACTACCCTTCTTCCACCATCGCCGCCGCCCTCCGCTCAATCCTCCCATACTACTTGAACGCAAATTACCACTCACCATCGCATTGCTCAACACCAACGATCCACCATCCACCATCAATGACTTTTCACCCATCAACGAAGACCACACACACTCCCGGAGAATGGAGATCACCGCCAGGACAGCGTCGATGGCGATGGTGGCGGCGTAGACAACAACAGTGGCAGTGACGGCGGCATAAACGACAACAGTGACGTAAACCACATCGTAAAGGAATAATAAATGATTACCCTAAAAAAGTCTGAATTAGATAAATTACTTTACATAAAAAGTCAATTTTACACTTATTTAATCTACACCATTAATTTTATATCAAATTTAATTAATGAATGAAATTAAATCAGCACCATGCTGATTGCACTCCCATCAGCGGTGGATCCACATCCGTATATATAAACATATATATTTGGAATAATATGTGTGACAATCAGATAAAATAGCATTTGTACGTATGCTTATTTTTATTCATTTATTTTGGAATCAATAAATATGTCTTAATCTCTACACCAATTTTGACATTATGATTAGATTAATTTATTTATTTAATCAATTGTTTGGGTCGAGATTGACGTTCAATTTATATATATGCATTCGATTAGATGATTGCATAATTTATTAATTAATGTGCGAATGTTACTGTATTTGCAATTAAATTTAATACGTGCATAATTTATTTATTTATACATTAGTGCTGATTTTATAAAATCGGATTCATTATGAACTATTTTAATTTCCAATTAATTATGGGTTACAACACATGTGTTTTCCACAGTACGCATTTGTGCAAATTCGACTATAATTATTTGGTGTATTAATTTATAGTCTATTTGAGTGTCATATTTTTTCCGGTGTAATTCCGCTGCATTTAGTATTTTTTTGGACTACTTGATTATTTTAATAAGTCCATAAATTAATTGATGTTGTTATAACTTTTATCCAATATGACATACATGTCAGTTTCTTTAAGGTGAATTTAATTAGCAATAAATAATATAATATATTTTATGAATTGATTGACACAGTTACGTTGCCAAAGCATCCCCTACTGTGTAGATCAATTTATTTTATATATTAGAAAGGTATGTAATTTATAAAGATGCTGATTTACCTGAAGACAAGTAAGCGATTAAGTAGTTACGTGCATGTTTAGTGACATTGAATGTGGTGATGATAATTTGGTTATTTGTGTGTGAATAATAGATCTGTCCAAAGATAAAATGTTGTTTGATACACTACTTTATTGTCAAACATTTAATTGTAAAACAAGTTTATCACTAACGAGTCTGTAATTTGTCCAAAGACAATTGCTGATGTTGCTCGATAACTTGTGATAAGATTACTAATTTATTTTATAAATTCATATACAGAGTATTCAGTAGCTTATAGACATGTATATTCAGTTGCTAATAAGCATTCTTTATTTTTTATGGAATCAGACTTGTATACATTGAACGTGATTCTGATTATAATTTATTTTAAAAAAATTATAAATTCATTAATAATGTTTTCTGCGTTTTGACGGTGAAAATCAAGTATTTAAAGTTGCCAAAGTAATCTCTATTAGATGAGATTTTTACTTGATAACGTAAGTGTTTATGTGTATTTTAATTCATGTGATTATTCTTCGGCCCAAAGAAAGTTGGTAATTGACAGAATGAAATATACATCTGCGATAATATGTATGAGATGATTATATGAATTTAACTTATGTGAATAGTGAATCAGTTCAAAGATTGATTACTGTTTGACATTACTTATTGTCCATATATGATTATTGCAACATGACGACTGCTAGCAATCAATGTTATTGATCCAAATATTGATAATTGATGTTGCACTTATTCCTCGTAACTATATTAAGCTTTTGATTTTGGAATGCCTTTTTTTGGAACATAACCTTAAGCAACGATTTCAATGTTTTGAATGGAAGGTGAGCACAAATATTCATTAGCACATTTAAGCTTTTCTTTGATTGACATGATAAGTACTTTTATTTTCATCTTCCAATATGAGTAATTTGCTCCTTGTAATAGTGGAGGTTAAGTAATAGATTTTCATCCTTTAACATCATATATAACCTCTATTCGGGAGTATTTTGAAAAGTTGGATCTGATACAATTGACGGTCCAAAAAAATATTAACGCCAGAATTAACTAAAGTAGATCTGAGAAATAATAAAATATTTGCATGCAGTGGAATTAAATCAAACGAAAATGATAAATGTGAGCTCGGATCAATCTTCCATGTGTTTTTTGGATGACCGATGTTCAACAGTGAAACATAGGTCATAATTTTTAAAACAAAATCAACACAAAATTTATTTAGTTAGTTCGTCCACCAATATGACCTACGCTTGAAAGGTTCCAACACAGGTCATTCCGCTATAATCAAGAATAGGATTTGAGAAAACTACAAGCGTAATAATCTCCAATTAATAGCAACATGAACACCAACAACTATGCAACGTAATACACGAATTACCCATTGCAGCGTCGATGTACTCCTTTAAGGCACAATAACAAGGCCTCGAAGTCAAGGTATCTGTTCTATTCTTGGACAATTCAATGATTATCTTCCTTCTCCTCCTTACTGATCTCCTCTAGCCGTGGACAAGACCAAACGATCATCGTTAAAATTTACCAAACATTTTGTAGAAGAACTTTATTAACTTATGAAACTTTTATCCAATAAAATCATGTTCTAAAATAACCTAAAAGATTTTAAAGGATTATCACTATCAATGCATGGGTTTCTCACTCAGATTTCTGTCAAAGAAAGAAGAGGTTTTCACTCCAAAAATAGGCTATTCTCTCTCAAAGCATGGAAGAAAAATTCACTACAAAACTCTCAAATCATTCCTTCATTTAGTGGGTATCATATATGTCGCCAAATCTTTTCAAATTTCCTTCAAAACCCTATCCATTAACATCTTAACAAATTTAAAAATACACATTTTTATTCAAAATATATCAATTAGATCATAACACAATAACGTTACATATGATCACATCATCAAATTTGAAATTATCAAAATCTTTGACTTTATTGCCCAGATAGACAAGTCGTCTAAGAATCCTATTCATAACTATCCAGACATTTAAATCATACCGGAATGAGAATACATGTGACATCAAAACAAAACAAAACAAATGCCAACAATTACTTAATAGTAGCAATGCTATTTTTTTTTTTTTTAATTGTAACAATGTTTGTTTGCTTGATCATGAAATAATTTTGTATATTTACTCGTTTACCTCAATAACATCAAAAAAAAAAAAAAAAAAAAATGTCAGTCCAACATTCATATACTAAATTAGTTAATATTTAATATATATATATATATATAGTGACGAAACTAGCACCTAAATCTCGAGGGGGCAAAATGTTATAATTTATTTAATATTTAACTAATAAATTTAAATAAATAATAATGACAGAATTATATATGAATTTAGATAGTTTTAGAGGGGCAAATTGTATATAAATATATAAAAATTAATATTTTTAATACCAAAAAAATTATAAAAAAATTGGCTTGGGGTCAATTGACCCCCCAAATCCAGTGTAGTTCCGTCCCTGTATATATATATATATATATATTGAGAGAGAAATGTTACTATGTTGAAACTATGTTTCGAGAAGTTTTGTTATATTGGTATTATATTAATATAAATAATGTATTGCATATTTTTATATCATATTTTGTTAGTTATTATACGATGTTTTGTTAACACTATATTGAATTTAAAAAATACTATAATCATACATATATATCTGCAAAAATTTTTGTGGCTTATTTTGCACTTTGAATGTTGTTCTGTCACACGATCAAATACCATCGTAATGGAGTATTAATCCACTTTCTTACAAAATACATTTTATCTTTCAGATCTCTCTACTCTCTCTGAAGAACACATACCAAAAAAACAAACAATAACCATCTTCATTAAACACAAATACATTTATAATTACATAGTAATCATAATAGTTCACCACGGCGAACTAGCTACATGTAGTTCGAATGCTATATATATATATATATATGCATTATCGTCATACCTACTACATTACATGGTTTATTAATTATAAATTAATAAAATTTATTGGTTGTGTAGGTGATTAGAGAAAGAATTAGTCCTCTTTACAAAGCGTCCTTTCATCCGCGGTCTTTTCTCCGCGTTTAATTTCCTAACTTGGTACCTAATCTTCTTTGAGAAGAGTCTCATCCTCTTCTTTTCTCGATACCTTAGCACCCTCGCCTCTCTTTCGCTTTGTCCATCATTTCTCTTACCCTTATAACAATCTCCTCCCATACATTCCACCTGAAAGTAGTAAATATAATCCGAAAAAATTGAATATGAAACTGAAATTCTGTGTTTCAATCATAAGAATACGTATACATATTTATCTTCTATATAAGACAAGAATCCCACAAATCTATTTTAACAGTATAGTTTTAAGAAACCTATTGATTGATCGGGCTACGTACCATGAAGGCGTCGAGGTCGAAATGAGGGCGTACACCGTTCTCCCACGGACAACCTTGGCTCGCCCAAGCATCGATAACTTGTTCGTAATTGAGCCTCAAAAGCATTCTTGTTTTAACTTGCGACCCATTATGATCATTATTTTCTTTGTCTATATTAGTCTCCTCCTCCTCCTCAATGGCGATTATCTTTTTCTCCGCCTCCTCCGAACATGCATTATAGTCGAATTCCCAACTTAGCTCATCTATTTCGTCGAGCTTTGGAATTTCGAAAGGGCTGGGGGCGCCTACTTCTTCATTGTCGTCCTCGACCTTAACCCTCTTTGCATCGAAACCCTTCTCACCATTGTCACTTGCTAATAAATCCCCAAATCTGTCGCTACCACCCAATAGCTCCGCCAGATTGCCGATCTCCGGCGGGTCAAAGAAAGGGTCGACATGGAGATCCCAATCGGGAACCCGGTGGAGGAGGTGGTCATCTTTCTCCTCCGGGAGGAACTCCTCCGCGTTGATCTCCGGCACCAGCGGGATTGCTTGGTAGTCAAACGACGGCGGCGGCGGGAACTTGGAGGCCGGCCGCCGCTGGGTCCTGGCCTTCTTAGAAAACCCTCGGTGCCATGACGAGCCGCCGCCGGAGTCTCCGCCGCAGACCTTAAACGACGCCGTCGACAGCCGCACGCGGTGGTGCCGGCCGGCGAGCTGGTTCGCCGAGTGTACGGACCTGTCGCATGCCTGGCAGAGGAAGGCGTCGTCCGCCGCGCAGAACCACCGCGCCCTCTTCAGCAAGCAGTTGTCGCAGGGCCGCGCCGTCCGGCCGCCGACGGCGCCGGCGTCCGCCACCATGCTGCTTTCCGGGACATCCATGGCCGCCGCCGCCGGCGAGTGGTGTCCGAGAGAATTTGAAAGAGAAGAAAGAAACAGTCCAAGTTGGTTGAAATGAAATAAAATTAGAGAGAGCAAAAGTTGATTAATTAATAATGCTATGTCCCCCGCACCACACTAGAAAGAATTGAGCTTTCCCGTCGCTATTTAGGGTTTTGCAGTGTGGGCCATGAAAGAGTTCTAATCTATGATCTGATTGGACGAGACGCCATGGAAGAGTTCTAATCTGTGATCTGATTGGGCGAGACGCCATGGATGATCTTGAAGAGCATGCCGTGATTGGCTGAGGGTCGTAATTAGGGATTCCTCTGGCAGGGTGGGGTGGGGGTGGGGGTGGGGTCATTCCCTTTGCAAGAATGTGAGAGAAACTGACATGAATAATGATGGCTCGAGTTTGAGACAGCTAGGCGGCTTGCTTTATTCATTAAGGGTTCGTTTAATTGTATAGAGAATAGAATCTAAACAATTAAATGATACTCTAGTATGTAGTTCAGTAGAAGTAGAATGTTACAATTTGGAAAAATTTGTGACAATAATACTCGCTCCACCGTATCAACCTATCCATTTTTTCATTTTAGTTTATTCTATTACAAAATATCTATTTGTTGGTTTAGTAATAGTATTTATCTAATATTACAAATACTTTTACAAATTACAATATATTACACAAATGTCATTACCTTTATATCACACAATACTAATAAGATTATTTTAGTCATTTCTACCTTATTCCTACTACATTCCAATATAGTACGAATATTTTTAAAACCCCGTGCAAAAAGCAAACAAATACATAGTTATAGGACGAAGAGATTATTATTATTGTTCATAAATCATAAAGTCATGTGCATAGTCTAAAACGGATAAAAATAAACAATAAAATAATAAACAAAATAAATAATATTTCAACATACAAATCAAAATGGATTTGTTTGGTAAATGAAATAATTCGGTTGAAAAATACTAGTCCCTCTGTTTTAACAATCTATTCATTTTTTCTATTTTGATCAATCACATAACAAAATATTCATTTCTTTATTCAGTAACTGTATTAACTACATAACAGTACTTTTATCATAGCTAGTTTAGTCCTTTTTTTTTTATTTTATTTCTATTACATCTCAATATTATACTAATATTCCTAAAATTTCGTGTAAAAAATAAACAGATAAATACATTAAGGCACAAATGGAGTATAATAAATAAAGATAAAAATGAATAAATTAGCAGGAGCCAATGTATTGAATAATTCCAGGTAAATATTGTTAGTCATTTTTTAATTTTTCTTTTAGTTTTGGGTTTAAACAATCATTTGGATATGATGTTTTATTAGACCAAATATTATATGTTTAGAGGTAATTACGAAAATTGAATAGCAGGAAAAAAAAAAAAAAAAAAAAAAAAAAAGAAATTATCACAAAAATCAGGGTGGGTTTGGTTGCAAGTTGAAATTCGAGTTGGGTTGAATTTTTGGGTTGGATTTCAATTTTTTTGAATTGAGATGTTTGAGTTGGTGTTGTTATAAGTTGGTTTTTATAATAATAATGTTGTGATGATTGATAATTAATTAGTTAAAGTAAAATGTATTGATTGATGTGATATTTTGAATAAAAAATAATAAATAAATTTAATTATAATAATAAAATTTATTATTCTCTAGAGATGAATTTTTATTTTTTATATAATATATATACATATTTAAATATTGTGACTGTAAAAAAATTCTATTCAAACGAAATGAATTTTATCTTTTCAACCGGATGTATCCAAAAATTTTGGTTGCATTTTTATAAATATAATATTATACCTTTTTACGATTTTTTAAGGAATAGAATATTATTTATTTCTACAAATGCAATTATCAATTTACACAATATCTATATAGATTAATTTTTACATTTATAAAATAATTTTACAATAAGATGGTACCCATTGTACATAAGATGAAATTAGATCGAGCACAAAATGTACTTAGCTGCTAATATTGTTCATACAAAATAATTTCGAGAGTCAAATACTACAACATATGATACACACGCTGAAATTAAAAACATCAAGCAACCAAAAATACATATATAGATGCACTCCAAACAGTACCTCCCGACATCAATCCATATCACGTCTCTCCCACATATTGTGTGCCATCGTATCTCTAAATTCCGAGTGAGCTTCAATGTCCTCTCCATTCGGACGAGGAGTAGGAAGATTATGAACATTCGAAGATTCAGAATTACCTTCCATAACAAGATCCTCCTCAAGCACGTACACCTCATCTATATATTCATTGTAGGGCAATATGATATTGTGAATGGTTGCACATGAAAAAACTAGCTGAACTTGCCTCGGAAAATGTAATTAAGCATAGGTCCACGCAAGATTGCAAATCGGCGGCAACCAAAGGCTCGCTCGACAATATTCCTTAACTATGCATGGCAATAATTAAAGAGCTCTTGCGGTCCTGTTGAACTACCGCCGACCCCCCAGTAGCTTTGCAAATGGTACCTATGTTGTCGGTAGGGGGTAAAAAATTTAGGTGCATTACGGTACCCTGAATCAGCAAGGTGGTACTTTCCTGAAAGATGAGAACTGCAATATAAGTAAATAAGTCGTACACTGATCAAAATTTCATATCCTAAAATAATGACTGCAATTTCACAACCTAGTGGAGGAAAGGGAAAATCTTGTAACACATTGATAGCATAGGCGAGAACCCTCGCATCATGCGCGCTCCCTTCGAACCCAACAAGCACATACACAAAATGAAGATCAAAATCAACAACTGCCGTACAATTTTGCATTGGGTCACCTTTTCGCCCTCGAAAGCGGGGTTGTTCCGAGGCAGGAACACATGCATCAATGAGGGTGCCGTTGATCGCACCAACACAATCCTGCATTATGGGGCGACTAGTAATTTAGGACATAACAATTAAAAAATGTCTTACAAGCGTATAAGAGCAAGAAAAAACCTTGAAGTAGGGGTAAAATTTCGTTAATGATGTAGTCTTCGAATGCATATGAGTGGGATTGCCTGGACGAATAAAATGTACTCCAATCTGGATTACGGCACGTCCAACCATATCCACATGGCAAAACATTGTTTCTGTTGAATGTTGGAAGCGCTCTGCAGTGACTCACATCCGCGTCAAATAGCCGACCGCATACAAAAATATTGCAATTAACTCGTATGGGGTAAGCCGTTGATCCGGGCTTTCATAAAATAAATGGGGTGCTACCATTTCAGTGAGATTGGTGAAAGTAGACTTACTTACATTTAGGAGATTTTTTATTCTCACCGGATGACCGTTGAGCAGGTCGTTAACAAAGTCCTGCCCTAATAGCAACAAATTGTAGCATGGCATAGGTCTTATGAATGAAGTTAAACGTAATGTTGTGGTCGCCCCCATTGTAAAAAGTGCTGCACCATCTTCTTCGTCCATCTCCCGTTGCTCTTGGTGTTGCGCAAGAAGCTCCTCAATCGTGCACGACTGTGGGACATTCTAGTTTGACAACAAGTTAAGATACGTTAGCACAATACTAAATATGACAAGATCATATCTTATTTGAATCACAATAAAACAATAATATCTCTGCTATACCAATCAATACAATCAATCAAATGATAGGTAAAAAAAAAAAAACCCTAAGTTCGAGACAAAATCACGTGAGATTCGTCTTTATTTGACAACAATAAGTGAAAAACGTAATAGTGGCGGCACAAACACGAGTTCTACCATACAAACGAACTCGCCGATAGACCCGTATACTAGCTAGAAATAAAAGACATAAACTATTGAACTAGCATCGTAGCAATAATAAGAAACGGGTAGGGCATTCGCAATAAGTCCAAGGCTACGGTACGTCTAGTTATCGGACCCACTCTTCTTGCATCTCACGACTAAAGGACAAGAATCATTCATGTCGGGTGGGACTAGGCTTCTATGTGCAGTATAGATATTCCGCACAGAGAGACCCGAAATAGAGTTCAATACGGCAATGCAGCGGTGGAGAGTGTCATCCTGAGCTTCCTCACGTTTACTACATCCACTGCAGAACATCTCAAAACCCTCCCGCAGAGTCTCTCGAACCACAGACGTTATCTCTTCATTTGTACCTCATCCTCCTCGACGTAGGGGATGTGGATGAGAAAATTCACCCTCGGGGGACTCCCTGGTGGAGATGTTTCAATTGTCGCCCCATCAATACTCATCCCCTCTTCATCACCACCTTCCGATGTGTTGTCCAAATTTTTGGTGGCCATACGAACATATGTGGTCTGATGAGCTTGCCTTCTTGCGAACGCACCCAATGAGCTATAACTATTTCCAGTAGCAATGTACCTTCACCACAGTTCATCACATTGATTGTAGAAAGAGAAGCCATGCGTTAACAAATTGGCATGCTTCGGATGTTGCTACAAAGAAGAGGAGCACAACATAGTTAATAAAAATAAGAATACACCTTAAAGTAAATTATCTCATTGAAATTATTATGTAGTTGAGATCTTACCTTTTTCCATTCCTCCAAAAGCATCGGATCACCAGTAACAACCCCCTGTTCAGCATCCCAACCTAACCCAGTTTGCTTATTTCATAGCTCAGTTACGAGGCGGTAGACTTCTCGTAGACGGATGTACTTACCCTGGAGTTGATATAGTTGATAAGGTTGGCATGTTTCTTGGGCAAACTCGTGGGCGATTTGCCCCCAAGCAGCCTTTGTGAAATCCTTACCGACTAGGTGCCCAACCTGAAAGAGTGAGTAGAAGATCAACACTAGTATAACCTCAAACTCCTCTGTCCATCGTGCATTGTCGGCCCTACACTTGGTTGATTCTCTACGGCGAGACATTTAATGATTACGATATGAGTCGATGAAGTGCTTTTCGCATTGAGCCAACAAAATCAATGCGCAAGCACCAATGTACTACAATAGATTACCATTCAAGATTGGTATGCAATGCACCCACACCGAGATTATAGTGCCATATAATTTAATGGAAATTTACTATTTATAATCGCATTAAAATTTGTTTCCAATATCAGTCAAGAGTGTTTATGTGAAGGCATTACTTTACGTTGGCGCTTTTTGGATGGTGTAGGGTAGGAACTACCCGTCGAACTTTGTGCGTCCTTTACGTGCCGAATGTCCAGAGCAGTAGGACTGTTGTGAAATTTACCTACATTCATACAAGATTCTTAATGAAATTTAGGTGCTTGAAATAGTAATTGTGAACTTTTCTAGAACATGCTAAGTAAGGAGAAAAAAAAAGAAAAAAAAAAAAACAAAAAGGATACACACAGTCTGAGAACAAAGCATCACCAAATTAATATAAAAAAATGAAATTTAAGTGGTAAGCAACAATTTAAAGTGAGTTTTTAAAAAATCCATTACAATGTTATTAAACTCTATCATGAGTTTCAATGATTCTTAAGCAACAATTGGAAAATATATCATTCATATCATACATCTTCAAACATGTTATATGAAAATAATAACAGATTGACACAATATAAAAATATCCAGGAGAATTCTTATTAGAAATCACTAGCAGTAACAAAATTTACACATCTAAACACCAAAAAGTCTACCGTAAAGGACAACAATGTCGAAAAAATCGGAACAATTTTTTTTTTGTGAGTAAAATCGAAGTCCTATGAAAAAAATGATGCTTTCAATTTTTAATTTCTCATCCGTCTGAAAAATTGGGCGAAGAACACGATGTAGGAAGGATAAAGCAATAGGAAAGAAGGGAAGACGTTTAGGACAGAAAAAAAACAGAAGCTTAACCTTTCTCAACAATACTAAAAATTTTCGATGAAAAAAAAAATCAATCAGTTTGATGGGTAATTTCTCACCCGCCAAAAAATTGGGGAAGAACATGACGGGAGAAGTATAAAGCCAGAGGGAAGCAAATGAAGATGTTTAGGAAAGCTTGAAAAAGAAAATGAGAGGCTTACCCGCAGCACTGGGCTCCAGATCGCCGGTCCGCCCTTCACCATCTTTTCCTTCGTGATTTGGTGGGGAATCCATGGGAAACGGTGGGTTTTGTAACCAAGGAGAGAAGACATCTATGGAAAATAGAAAATTACAACAAACTGTAAACGTACAGACTGCAGCTGAAGAGATAGCGCACTGTAGGGTTTACGGACTTTGGCGATTGAGTGCACAATAAATATCATTTGACCTTGGCAGGATTTTATGCGGAAACAATATTGAACAGTGGAAAAATTGAAATAGAGTGTCAACCAAACAAACCCCAGATTTCTCATCTTTTTTTCTATTTCTCTCTCTATATATATAGATATAATATAGAAAAATAAAAATAGAAATGAGAAATCATTTATTCAAACACGGTGACTATCTGTGTATTGAAAAAAAAAAAAAAATTCATCATATTGCTGACACCATTTTGAATATAAATATACACTATTTCTTTTGATTTAGTTTAGAAAAATTCAGTTTGAATGTGGTATTAAAATAATGTATGATGTGATATTTTGTGAGAAAAAATTTTTTTTTTTCAGAAAACGTAGAGTCTAAATAATAAAATATTGGAGTTTGATAGTTAAAGAAACATACTATTGTGTTAATATAATGCAAAGATAACATATTAAGTAACATTATATTCCGTCCGTCAAGTTAGAAAGTATATACATATCTTTTTTGGGACGTATAATTACAAAGTAAATATTTTATTAAATACCTCATTTTTTTTTCACAAATACCCTTACTTTATATCACATCATTATTTTTACACTAAAAAACAATGACAAAAATGTCATTACACTACTTTTAACTACTTACTACAATTAAAATACTATTATTTCTTAAACACCGCGCCAAAAGTAAATGTTTATTTTATATGTGAACGGAAGGAGTATAACAATAATTTATGGGGAAAGTTACGGTGCTGAATTTGGAATCCGCACTTGTAAAATACAAAAACAATACATGTTTTTATTACAAACAACACATGTTGTATATAATAAAGGGATGTGCTATTTGTTCATAATTACATCGCGCGATGTATGAGAGTATGACATGTGCTAAAATTAAGTATTGTATATGCTGTGTGAGATTATATCGTGTGATGTTAAGTCATGTATTGTATTTGTATTATATTAACATATATTGTGTGATGTCTACGTAGAACACGGTGTGCTATTCAGCACAGTGCTAAATTTTACATTCAACACCGTAGCCGTCGCCATAATTAATAAAACACATACTAAAATTAAAGTCAATACAATAGATGTGACTATACAACACATTCTATAGATATGGACAACCAACACAATTACTCCCTCCGTCCCCAATCTATTTATCCATTTAGTTTATGCACGAGATTTTAGGAATATTAGTATTATATTGTGATATAGTAGAAATAAAAATAAAATAACTAAAATGCCCTCAAGTTAAATGACTAAAAGAATACTAAGCATACTTAGTACAACCTTGCGAGTCGAAGAGCAGCTCGAGGAAGCCACTTCCATTCGACGACGGGCCATGCAGGAGGAACGCCGGAACAACGTTCGAGGTCGACGGTCAACTGTAAAATGGAGCTCGTTCTCTGGTTCCTGCTCCGATTCCGAATCGGGAACGAAACCAAGGGGAACAACCGAAACGACGGCTAACGGTGTAGATCTGGCCACCTCTTCGACGATTTTGTTGGAATCGAGCAGTGAATCAAAGAAGCCATCGGATTCGAAAACTAGAGAAATCAGATCACGGTTCGAGGAACGTCCAACCCTCTGTAAAGAGGAACGCCCTTCGGCCGGCGCCGGAGACCGAGGGGCAAGCGACATCGTCGGTAGAACTTGGGAGAAAATATAAAGAACGCCGATGAGGGAACGAAGAAGGCCACTGCGTGAGGAATGAGATGATTTCAAAAACCCTAAGATTGATCTGGTGGAGAACAACGGGGGGCTCGCTGATAATAGGTGTTGTAAATTAAGTTTAGTTTGATTTATTAATTAAAAATTGTAGTATTTTTAATTTTGTAATTTGGTTGTAATTATTGTAGTGACAATTTTGTAATATAATGTAAGTTTAAGGGTAATTTTAATGGTAGGTAGGTATTAGGGTTACTAAAAAAGAAAATAAATATATTATTTTGGAACAGACTAAAATAGAAAAATAGATAGATAGTTAAGGGACGGATGAAATATTAAATTAATACAACAAATTACTGTGTTAATTTAAACAATGCGTTGTTGATTGGTGCAAATCAATATTATTAGTTTGCTTATTTTCATCGATCAACCCTCTAACCTTCCTGACCAAACACTAAGGTGTGTTTGTTTGGGGGATTGGATTGAATTTACACTATTCATTTAATTTTTTTTTCCCCAAAAATATCAAATCAAACACATATTTTTTATTTTTTATATTATACTAAAAATCAATTTTACATTAAAAATATCACATCAACACCTATTTATATAACATCATACAACTATTCAAATTCAAAATTTTTACTATTCAAATCCCAACTCAAAATCCAAACCCTCGGACAAACACTAAATGTTACAAAATTAAACTTTTGATGAATCAAATCGTATTTGATGTGATAATGTGATATTTTAAATAAAAGATTGTTTATTGTTATTATTATTTTTTTGGTACATATTAGCTAAATATCAATTATTTAATTTAATGAATAGTGTTAGAATAAATCAAGACTTTAAAGAAAGGGACTCTAATGATAGTTATGGCAATATTGGGAGTCCATTTTGGCAATCGAGTTCGAACATATTTGTATGTATATAACATTGAGGTGGTAGAGCTCGGCAGGGGCTTTCTTTGTATTAGTGGTCCTCTCACGTTACGTTGCTATCTTAGCTTGCCCTTTAAAGGCTTCATGCTATTTTAACCATTCTCAACCACTTGCTATATTTTATTTTATTTTATTTTATTTTTAGTGTAACCCTAAACCACTTGGTACATCTGTGGATGCAATATTGCGGCTGATTTTATTTGATTTACTGCCTGGATTGATCGATAATTCGAATGCATGGTTCAATATAATTATTATATGTATATATATATGTAATTCAATTTTATTTTTTATTTTATTTTATTTTTTTAAGTTCAATAGATGTTATTTTTATCATTTGATATAAAAGTATTAATTGATTTACCTTATGATTCAATAATTTTCTGGTATACATAGTTCAAAATGCCTTTTGTGAGTTTTTCAATTTTTTTTTACTTTTTAATTATTATTTTTTTCTTAAAAAATATCAAATTAAATATATTTTTTTATAAGACTAAAAATTAATATTATATTCAAATTATCACAATAACTACTTACATCAACCAATTATTTAAATTTAAATTTTTACTAGAAAAACATAAATAAATTTAAATTCAAACAACGCCTTTAAATCTTGTCTTTCATATATATTTACATAGTGTAACTTTTTTTGTTGGCCCAATTTGAAGATTATTACGTTCCGTCGAAATTAATCTCATATGCACTTAAAGAGTAAAGGTTCCGAATTCTGATATTACTATAAAAAAAAAATATTCAAAATTTTATTATGGAAAAGTTCAAAATCAAAATGCATACACTCAAACCACTCAATATATATATTTATATATATATAAAAGAGTACAACAAATTTACAACATCATGCTTATATTTTATATGTATGATTCGACATATATATTTTGTATGTGGCTCAGCAAGACTTGTTATATGTGTATATACATCGCTATTAGGTAAAAAAAAAAAAAAAACAAATGATAATTGCATACATTTGTTACACATTTTAATTATACGATAACTAAAAGTAACAAAGAGCAATTTTGTGATAATTTATGTCACAACTTTTTACTAGGATTGTTCCGTATGTAATATTTGAAGAAAAAATTACAAATAATTTTTCGTGACTATTTAAAGTAGCAACTTTTGTAACAAAAATGTCCAAAATATTTCTATTTTGTGCATTTTTGTTATTTCACCACAAATATTGTCATAATTTTATTTTTTTTTGTTTCTAATTTAAATTGCGACACAAATAATAAAAATATTCACAATCTTTTAAATTCTTACAAATATTATCATAATATGATTTCCGTGACTTTTGAAAGTCACGACATAAGTATCAAAAATATCAACAATTTTTTCATTATCCACTACAAGAAAATATCAAATTTGTAACAATGATTTTTCGTTCCTAAATCCACTTTTTTCGTTACTAATGATATTAGAGACGGAATTAGAGATGAAATTACGTTAGTTACGTGAACTTTAGGAACAGAATTCCGTTACAAATATAGTATTTTTTTGTAGTGATCATTCGCCGTTATTTAAAGTAACAATAAAAATAATAAAATCATCGTCAACATTTTCTTATTTGTATTATAATCATATTTATTTAAAGTAACAACAAAAATAATAAAATCATCGTCAATATTTTTATCTTATTTAAAGTCTTGACATAAATATCCAGAATATCAACAATTTTTTCATTATCATTCTCCGTTATTCAAAGTAATAACAAAAATAATAAAATTATCGTCAATATCTTTATTTTTTTACTTGTATTGTAATTGAATAACTTTTATAACTATTCATCACTATAAAAAAATATGACATAAGTACCGAAATACTTGCAGCATCTTAGTTCTATGTATATTTTCACCTTAATTCTATGTATATTTTCATAAAAAAAAAAAAAAACATTTGTAACTATTTATAGTTACATGAAAAATAATTTTATTTAATTTATTAATTAAAAATATATGCTGATATAATTTATTATATATATTAATATAATTAAATATTTAATTATTTATAGTTACCAGTAAATAATAGATTTAAATATATTATTAACTTTAAAATTTTGTAAATATGATATACTTTTAATATTGTTAACTTTAATTATTTATAGTTACCTCTAAATAATAGATTTAAATATATTGTTAACTTTAAAATTTTATAGATATGATATAGGTACCCTAAGGGTGTGTTTGTTTGGAGGTTTGGATTTTTAATTGAGATTTGAATAGTAAAAATTCTAAATTTGAATAGTTGTATGATGTGATATAAATAGGTATTGATGTGATGTTTTGAATGTAAAATTGATTTTT